CGGGGGACGGCGAGGGGGACGGCGCGCGGCCCCCAGGACGCCACCACGGGGCAGCGAGGGGCCGCGCGCGGCTCCCCAGGGCGGCGCGACGGGAAATCGGGGGCCGCGGGCGACGGGATCGGGGGGCCGCGGGCGACGGGATCGCGGGGCCGCGGGCGACGGGATCGCAGGGCCGCGGGCGACGGGATCGGGGGGCCGCGGGCGACGGGATCGCGGGGCCGCGGGCGACGGGATCGGGGGGCCGCGGGCGACGGGATCGCGGGGCCGCGGGCGACGGGATCGGGGGGACCGCGGGCGACGGGATCGCGGGGCCGCGGGCGACGGGATCGGGGGGCCGCGGGCGACGGGATCGCGGGGCCGCGGGCGACGGGAAAGCGGGGCCGCGGGCGACGGGATCGGGGGGACGCGGGCATCCCCCACGGGAGGAAACCGCCGCGCGCCCCGAGCGCGCGGCAGGAAGGAGGCGTCGCGCGACCAGTAGAACAGCAGCGGAAGCATTTGGTGGTGGGCCCACCCACAGGATCGACCCAACAGGATCGTCCTGCTCTGATAGCATGTCAAGAGAATTAGGCAAAAGAGAGGGCTGAACTAGCAAGAATGGGGATACATATAGCAAACCCTAGAAGGGTTGTACTCGCTACAGAGCACCCCACTACAGGCTAGAGCATAATATTCTGACACCCCGTAGCGACGTGCGGCGAGGAGTCAACTACGCGTCACGATTTCAGTGCCGAACGACGAGTCGGCGCTGCCATCACCGATGCCCTCCAAGCCGTAGTGTTCGCCCTGCTTCAATCCGAGCCAACGAGGTGGTCCGACAGTTCAGGCATGGCTGTTCACAATGATTTTTTTTTTTCAACGCAAACTACGTCTCATCGAACGCGACGAAAATCCGACACGCCGTGTCACTACTGCGAGGGCCTGCCATGGACTGGTGGCGCGTCATCGTCATTGAACCAACTGACTACGAGACTCTACCGCCACGGGAAGGACAAATTGGACCCTGGGCGCAATATCGCACGTGGGTTTGTGCGCAATATTCGAGCCAATCGCGGCGTCGATCGCGGCGGGACAGAGGCTCTGCACTTGGCGCCAGCTTCGTTCCGTCCAAGACTACACCAGCGGGTTTCTGGCGTTGTGCGAGTAGGTGGGATACATGCATGAGGGAGAGCGTATAGACCGCTATGTCGGAGGACTGAAACACGAAATTGCTTAGGAGATTCAGCTGCACAACGCCACCGAATTCAATGAGATTCTGGCAATGGCGGAGAAGCTCGAAGAAGCTCGACTTCTTACGCCGACCGAGACCGGGGTCCTACGGCAACGCTAAGGGAAAGGGGGAGCTGAGCAGCATAAACAGACCAAGCAGCAGGGATACGATGGGAGTCCGTAGCAGACGGGCCCTCTACTGACAGGTCACGCCGCTCGCCTGACCCGACCGACCCTCACCGAGTGATTGTGCCGGTTCACGCAATCGACCACACCTGACCGAATAAGGAGGGTACAACGGTAGATAGCTCCATACTGCTTGGGAAGATTCGCATCGACTTAGTTAAAATATTCGTCGAAGAGATAACCAGCCACAGCCTAATCAAGACGGCCACAGCACGAAGACTGCAACTGACATTGGACAGATGCTCACCTGAGGTCGACGCACGACTGGTCGATAGCATGCCACTGGCGATACAAGAACGCGTGGACCGAGTTTGGATCCGATGCAAGGGTAACTTCACCATCACCTAGGAAATGCTGGCAACAACTCTCGACGGGACCGACATTTTACTCGGCTGTGATTGGTTGCGACGACACAACCTGCGAACCTACTAGACGACGGGTGACTACACCGTGCGAGTGAACTCTAACAACATCGCCCTACCTCGCTGGAGCTCGACTGAGTCTCGATCGGTGCGTGTCAACGCGATCACGATTAAATGCGCCACAGAGGAAGGAGCTGACGTGTCCGTGTTGACATTCGGGAAGCCGAGGTAGTAGACAAATCGAGGGATTTACAGAAACTACTCGCTGACGTATCGGGTGACTTGGCAGAGCTACTGAAGCAGTACAGCGAAATACTTCCGGACGACATGCCTGAGGGACTACCACCCCAGCGACCGCACGACCATAGGATAGAACTGGAATTGAGGGCACAGTCGACAGTGCAGTGACAGTTCGGACTGACCCAACCTGAACTGGACGAACTGCGGAAGCAACTGGATTACGTGCTCAAAAAACAATTCATTCGCCCGAATTCGTCACTCTTGGCCGAACTGATACTGTTCACACCGAAATAAGGACTCGGAATTTTGCATGTGCATAGTTTACCGCGCACTAAACAGAGTTACCATCAAGTCGCGTTTCCCCATCCCGCAAGCCGACAAACTGATTGACCAACTTCGCACAACCCGAGTCTTCTCGAAAATCGATCTTCGAGGGGGTTACCACAAGATTCGAGTCAATCCACGCGACTGCCCGAAAACCGCCTTCCGCACCCACTACGGATCGTTTGAATACACGGTAATGCCTTTTGAATTGACCAACGCCCCCGCCACCTTCCAAATGACCATGACGAAGCCTTGCGCCCACTGTTAGAAGTGCGTGATCGTTTACTTAGACGATATACTGATCAAAAGCCCAGACAGAGCACAGCACATGAGGGTGAAGTGGCACTGGACGAGGAGCATGGTGGCCGCGGGTGAAGTTGAGCTGCGTTACGTGAAGACGACGGGGCAGCCAGCTGACATGATGACCAAGAGGCTGGTGGAGCAGCAGCATTGGAAGTGTTGCAAGCTGGCTGGGATGGCTCTGAACTGAGAGAGCAAGATCCTAAGGCCAACAACCCGAGGGGGAGTTTGTTGGTGCAACCCTACGGTTTGCACTCGGCTTGTTGTCCGTGTGCGTGTGCGTGCATGCGTGTGTGCATGGAGTGGTATGAGTGCATGAAATAAATATATATTTCATGCTTATAATGGTGTGTGAATGATGGGTCATGATGTCGAGTGTGTGTGTCGAGTCAATAGCGAGTTATCGCTAGCCGCGTGTCAATGCGGTCATTTGTGTCTCGCGCGCGGTTTCTATTTTGTCGTGTGTCCCGTGCGCGGTTTCTATTTTTTCCTATGTCAAACGTTCGGCGTGTCGCAGGTGTGTGCAGCAGACCCATCAAGAACTCAAGGTTGAGTTTGTGATGAAGAACCCGAGCCTTGGTTCAAGCTTCAAGTGTTTTTCGAAGCTCGCCAAAAAAGGCTACACCTCAAGATATTGAAGATAGTTACATTACAATGTGTAGTGTAACATTTCTATGGGTGTAGGCCCTTGTGGCCCTTCTTGGTTGGGGACAGTGTGGCACTGTTCCACATCACTGTACCTCGGCTCTTGGGGTTTGTAGGAGCTGGGAGTCATTCCCAACTCGTAACTCTTCCTAGCTATTCGTATTTGTGTGTCCTAAGACTATGTTGCTGCCATAGTGCCGTTCGTTCAATCTGATGCTGTGTCGTCAATTCTTGATGAAATCGTGCGATCTAAATTGCCTATTGTAGGTGACGTTAAGACGCTCCAGATCCAATTTGAGTGAGGTCATTTAGAGCTGTGACCAGATCGCTATGAATGTTTAAAGCCGCTGTGCAGAAATCTGACTGCGCACTCTATCTTTGGTTCTAGGCACATTGAAGCCTATTGTGACTATAACAGCCCCCTGCAATGCTCCTCATCGAGGCGGAGGGCGATCGAGATGGCGTAACCATGGTCTGAGATGGGATCGTCAGGCATGATATGTGCGGAGTAAGAAAGGTAAGGAATGAGAGATTGAGAGACTAAGGCTCGATTGTAACTCTGTGGCTTTTTGCGAAGAATGTATACTCTCTGCAACCAGGGTGCAATATTCTAAAAGCGTCTGACAGTTGGAAGGCCGTGCAGCGCCGAAAGAAGCGTTCATTTTCTAAGGCTTTGCCTTGACCTCTAGAGTTGTCTAACAATGGGTTTTCTATAATGTTCAGGTCGCCGATCAGCAAGAGGTGTTCCAAAGGAGGGATACTATCTAAAAGGGGCCCGAAGGAGTCACGGAAGAAGGCTGTTCTAGCTGGGATGCTGGATGGAAAGTAAACTGCAAGGAGGATCAGGTCAAGACCGAGATCTCTAACTGAGGTTTGAATGATTCTACCCGAAGGTTGAGCTATAGTGTCGTGAAAGGTGATAGCGGGGTTACGACTGAGGACCGCTACCCCTCCAGCGCTAGTCCTAGGAGCGGTAGCTGTGAATGACGTTGCTGAGAGTGAAGTCCAGTACGGGTAGTCTGAGTCTAGTCTTGTGTCAACTAAAACTGCTATGTCTGAGCCCGTCATGAACCATGATCTAACTCTAGTCTGCTTGGTGTTGTTGCTGCCTAAACCGTTGACGTTCAGGCTGGAGAAGGTGAGGTGATTTTTTATATTCATGGGTACACCGGCTTGCGGCCCCTGATCATCCAGATAAAAGAAACAGAACAGGCGATGCTAACTCCTAAGCACCAACAAGCAGCTGCATCCAGGTAACGCTCGAACTTTGTCACAGGCCGTAGTCTTTGCGAATGATGTCTAAGTTCAACTTGTCGAGTGACGCCTTCGTTGCTGAGTTTCCCTTCCACAACTCTAGCAGGTGAGCAGCTGCCGAGATGTGAGCTGCAGCAGCAATGAGGCTCTTCCCCTTCGCTTTCCCGCAGCCTTTTTGCATGCAGATCCAATCTTCCCTGCTGCTGCCGGTGGAGACGAGAGCAATGGCCGGGTCTCGAAGGATTGGGAGAAAGAACGAGGACGCTTTCAACGATGCAGCTGCGGAGGAGCAGAGACAGGTTAGTGCGTGAGAGAGAAAAGCGGAGCGGAAAGCGAGCAGAAAAAATCACATTGCCGGCCGTCTGTGACGGCGCAGTTGACTACGTGGGCCGCATGTAGGAGGTCGCTAATCGCCTTACGGCACGCCAAGCCGCCCTCCCCGAGCCACTGCAAATCCACCGCCTCCTCTACAACCTCACCCTAGACTACGAGTCCCGCCTCCATGCCTTCACTGAGGCAAACCCCATGGCCAGCCTCGACGACGTGGTCCAGTGGATCATTGACACGGAGGTCAAGCTCTGCACCCCCATTATCAACCTTACCACCCCTCAGTCCTCCTCCTCCAGCTCCCTCAATGCTACGCAACCGCGCAACCAGGGTGGTCGCAGCGGCAGCGGTGGAGGTCGTGGCGCTGGTGGCGGTGGTGGTGAAGGTCGGGGCGGTGGTGGTGGTGGTGGTGGTGGTGGTGGCGGTGGTGGCCGTGGTGACGGTGGTGGTGGTGTTGGTGGCACCCCTACTGAAGGATCTTCCGGTGCTGGTGGTGCTGTGACTCGAGGCGGTCGCCCTGGAACTCTGCCCCCATGCACGTATGTTCGCCGCCATGGTCCCCATGCTGGTACCCCTTGCGGCCAAACCAACCATCCCCCCCCCCCACCACGTGCTTCAAGGCGCTCGATGACGCCTGGTTTGATCGAGGCAACACTGGCACCCCTCCTCGCTGGAACACTGTCACCCCTCGCCCCTCCCTGGTGGATGTTCAAACCCTCCCATCTTTCCTTCCTGCTCACCTCCGCCTGGTTACACCCTCCCCACCTTCACAGCTGCAGCAGTTTCAGCAGCACCAGCAGCAGCAGCAGCACCACCAGTACTTCCAGCAACAGCAGCAGCAGCCGCAGTTTCTCCAGCCGCAGCAGCCGCCGCCGCCGCATTTCTTCCAACCGCCGCCGCAGCAGCAACAACAGTTCTTTCCACCACACTAGCAGCAGCAGCCGATTACTTTTGGCACAGCGGCCATGGCCGCTCATGCCTCCCTTGCTCCCCCTCTCCCCTAGGGTTCCCTCCCCTCTGCCCCCCAAGTGTCCCCGACACTTCGGGTAGTTTCCTTGGTAATGTCAGTGTTGCACCATCTGTCGCTTCCATGTATCCCTCTGCTATCAATGAAACTTCTTTCCAGTACCCCGTGTCACCTCCTCCTCCTTCTTCCCCCACCCTGGACTTCTTTATTGATAGTGGGGCCACTGAAACCGCACTAAAAGACGCTGGCACTCTCACCCCCCTACCACTTCCCACTCAGGTTCATGGAGCTGATTCCAGTTTTTCCATCCCATGCACACACCTCTCCACCCTCCCTTGCACTGCCTTCCCCTCCGGTAAGGTCACAGATCTTTACATCCCCACTCTCCGCAACAACCTCATCTCCCACCGTGAGCTCCAAGGTGTTGGTATTACCGCCATTTACCCCGGCTCTGCTAACTACTATGATCTCTACCAAACCTCCTCTGATCACTTCCTTCTCCGCATTCCGCTTTGCCCTGGCACTCGCCTCTACACACTCCGCACACCTCGCCCATCTTTCTGCCACGTCACCACCCGTGCCGGTACTTCCACCGGTCCACCTCCCCCTCCTTTACTCCCCCCTTCCCCTCCCCCTCAAGTATCCTCCTCTCCCTCCCCACCATCCTCCTATCCCTTCCATCACCCCATCTCCCTCCTCCTCCACTACTCTCTTGCACCCTGCCGTCCTCTTACACCACGGACTCGGCCATCCCAACTTCACCGCACTTCGCACCACAGTCACCTCTCGCCTCCTCCGCAGCCTTCCTCCCGTCTTACACCCCCTCCCCTCCTCCCCCTCTCCCCCATGCCCTTCATGCATCCACGGCAAGCTCAAACAGTCACCCCACCACAGTCATCCCACCTTCGCCGCCGCCCCCATTGATCTCGTGCACATGGATCTCTGGGGCCCCTATCCCATCCGCTCCCGCCAGGGGCACCGGTACATGCTCGTCCTCGTCGACAACCACAGCCGGTACTCCACCGTCTTCTTTCTTCACACGAAAGTCCAGGTGCCGGCTGTGGTCATCAACTGGGCTGAGCTGTGCCGCAACCACTTCGAACGCCCCATCGGCCGCCTTCACTCTGACGGTGGGGGTGAGTTCATCAATCACACACTCGCCTCTTACTGCACGACCCACGCCATTCAGCAGACCTCCACCCTCCCCCACTCCCCTCAGCAAAATGGCGTCGCTGAGAGTCGCATTCGTGAGATCACCAAAATTGCTCGCTGCCTCATTGCTCATGCTTCCACCCCTCCTTCCGATTGGAGCTATGCCCTCCTCCACGCCGCCCTTCTCCTTAATCTCCGCTCCCACCCTCAGCATCCTTCCTCCTCCCCCACAGAGCTTTGGTCCAAGGCCAAACTTGACGCTGCCGGCCTTCGTGTTTGGGGCTGCAAGACCTTCATCCTCATTCCGCCCGCTGACCGCTCCCGCGCCGCTGGCAAGCTTGCTCCTCGCGCCCTGGAATGCGTTTACCTTGGGCACAACCGCGACTCCCCAGGCTACCTCTTCCTCCACCCTCCTACCAATCGCCTCATCCGCAGCAGCGACGTCGTCTTCGACGAATCCATTCCCTACTACTCCACACCTCCCCCTGATCCTCCCACTCCTCCCTCTCGCCCCCTCGCTTGGACCGATACCGTCCTCCCGCCTCTCCTCCCCCCCGCGCCCCTCTTCCCACCTGTAGCCGCTCCGCTCCCGCCTTCCTCCTCTGCCGACGGCTACGACCCCGCTGCACCCGCCTCCCCCGCCCACTCAGCTGCATCCCCTCCCTCCCCTCCCTCCTCCTAAGAGTCTCCCTCTTTTCAACAGCAGCAGCAGCAGCAGCAGCAGCAGCAGCAGCAGCAGCAGCAGCAGCAGCAACAGCAGCAGCAGCACAACAGCCGGAGCAGCAGCAGCAGCCGCAGCAGCAGCGGCAACAGCCGGGGCAGCAGTAGCAGCAGCCGGGGCAGCAGCAGCAGCAGCCGGTGCAGCAGCAGCAGCAGCAGCAGCAGCAGCAGCAGCAGCAGCAGCAGCAGCAGCAGCAGCAGCAGCAGCAGCAGCAGCAGCAGCAGCAGCAACAACAGCAGCGGCTTCAGCAGCAACAAAGTGCCACTTCTCGCTCCTCCCCTTTCCTCCTTCCTCGCATGCACACATCTTATCTTTGGGACCCCTCCTCCTCCTCCTTCCCTTCAACTCCTTGAGAACTCTCACGAGGAGTTCCTCACCATCCAGCAGCACACTCCTTTCCTTGCCACCCTCTTTCTTGACTTTCTTGGCTTCCCCGTCCTTGGCGCCACCTCCACCCCCACCATCTTCACTCCCTCCACTTTCCAAGAGGCCATCACATGCCCTGACGCGGACAAGTGGATAGCAGCAATCTTCCAGAAGTGTGAGGCGTTTATCCGAAACGGCTCCTTCGTTGACATCCCCTCCCCGCCGATGCCAATCTGTCGAGGGCAAGTAGGTTTTTTCGGGTGAAGCAGCTGCCGGGTGAGGAACCGGTCTACAAGGCCCGCTACTGCGCCAAGGGCTTTACACAGACGTTTGGGGAGGATTTTTGGGCCACCTACGCCCCCACCGCCAAACCCCCCACCCTTCGCGCAACCCTCGACATTGGTTCGCGCGACAACGTGGAGCTCGATTCCATGGACGTCTCCAATGCGTTCCTGCAGGGCGACCTGCACAAGCGCATTTTCCTCCGGCGACCACCCGGGTTCCACGCAGCCTTCCCTGAGAACACTGTCTGGCAGCTGCGTCGCCCTGTCTACGGCTTGAAGCAGGCACCACGTGAGTGGTATGCTAATCTGGCTGCCACCTTAGGGTCTCTCGGCTTCTCTTCTTCCCACTCTGATGCCAGCCCCTTCATCCGCTCCTCCCCCCGCCACTTCTTCATTTTGGTGTATGTGGACTACATGATCCTGCTCTCTGACACCAAGGCTGACATGGAGCAGATGAAGCTGTCCCTGCAGCAGCATCTCAAGTGCAAAGACCTTGGCGCCCTCACTCATTACCTGGGCATGGCCATCACGCGCAACCGCCCTGCTCGCACCATCACCCTCTCCCAGTCCCACTACATCGGCCAGGTCTTGGAGAAGTTCAACATGGCGCAGGCCAAGCCCGTCTCCACCCCCCTCCCCTTCGGCCACCAACTCGCTCCACCCACCTCTCCCACCTCCCCCCCCCTCTCCTATGCCAAGCTCGTTGGGTCCCTGATGTACGCGATGATGTGCACCCGCCCCGACCTCGCCTACCCCGTCAGCGTCCTTGCTCGCTCGCTTCGTCGGCACCGGCCGCCACAGTGAGGAGCACTGGAAAGCTGCCAAGCGGGTCCTCCGCTACCTTCGAGGGACCAAGGACCTTGCCCTCACCCTTGGCGGCCCTTCCCCTCCTCTTCTCTCGGGCTTCAGTGACTCCTCTTGGGCTGACACGCAGCCGGACCGCCGCTCCTCCCAGGGCTACAGCTTCAACCTTGGTAGCGGCCTCATCTGCTGGCGCTCCACCCGCTCCTCCGCCATCTCTCTCTCCACCTGCAAAGACGAGCTCTACGCTGGCTCTGCTTCCTTCTTGTAGAGCTTGGCGCCCCCCCAGACGTGCCCCACTCTCTGGTGCGACAATGCCAGCACCATCCATCTCACTGAGGACCCTGTCTATCATGCCCGCTCCAAGCACATCGAGCTCCGCTACTTTTTCATTCGCGAGCTCGTCCAGAAGGGGTTGTGTTAGAAATATATATTGTATAGCATGCCAACACTTGTGACTGTAGACCGATTGTGGTGTACAGTTGGGTTGGGACTACACCCAACTTTGGGTGTAGTCTTGCACTTTGGGGTGCCAATCCACCCAATTGTGGTGGAGCCCCCAAATGCAACCCACTTGGCTTATGGGTGCCTCACTTCCTACAAGTGAGGTCACCTCAAGCCAAGTGGGCCTAGGGTTGCCTCACTTCTACAAAGGGTGGGCAACCCACCCTACTTGACCTATGTTGCCTCACTCCCCCAAGTGAGGTCCACCCAACCTATGGTCGCCTTCACCCTTCCCTTCTAAGCCTCTCTTCCAATTATGTATGCTTGGTTTCTCCCCTAATGAAGTTACTTGTTCAATTTACAATCTTCACATGACTGCTTCATGGGGCCTCGCATTTTGGCCGCGAAGCTTCTGTTGGTTCTTTCCGCCAAACCCTGCTGCTTGTGGCTGTAGGGAAGAAAAATCATCCTCTTCATTCCCTCCTCTGCATGGAGGGTTTTGAACTCCTCTGTTGTGTACTCTAGTGCTCCGTCCGTCTAGAAGGTTTTCAGCTTCTTTCCTTCACTCTGTGTTTCTGCGAGTTTCAGCCAGAGGTAGAAGTAGTGATAGGCAAGGTGGCGGTTGGTGACGTTCGCAGCCCAAACGAAACGCGCGCCGGTGTCGATGAAGGTGATTGTGTATTGTTCCCCTTGAGTGGTTTGTATTTTATTGTAAGTACTAGGAAGTCGCAGTAGACCTTCTTGAGTGGTTTGTATCGCTCAGCACTCATAACCTTTTCGGCGAAGGGGGCGTGAGCTAAGGCGGCTGTCGAGCAGATAGTGCAGTTAGGTAGATATTCCCTGGGTTTGGGCAATTTTCTATACGGTGGTAGCAACGCATCTTCCGCAAACACTTTTGTGTTGATTGGGTTCTTGAGCGTTTCTACCAAAGGATGTCCGAATCGTTTGTGCCAGATATCAACACCATCGCGATATCCACGTGTGCGCGCATATAGCGGCTTTTCTCGTGCTAATACATCCTCTATTGTCGCTCTTCTCGTTTCGTCCGCAGGTTCATCTGGTACAAGGACTTCAACAATTTTCGCGTGAAGATTCTCGAGTCTTGTCCCGTGGTATGCTTCTTCGGAATCGCCGATGGTTCTGGTGTCGATCATCACAGGAAGCTGCGGTGGTCCTTCTAGATACGGGGATCGGGTGCCGCGCTGATTTGCTGATTTTCTGGTTCGCCTTCTTTGAAGTTGGTGCTGCTGATAGCTACTCCCCGTGTGTTGAGGCGAAGGTAGCTTCTTCCGTCCGTTGTGACTGCAGTGAGATGAGGTCCATACTCGGTAAGGGGCTCTTCCTCCACAATAGGTAATCATGTTGCATGCTCAGACATATTGACGACAGTTTCTTCTCGCGCCAACTTCTGGTTCTTCTTTTACAGGTTTACGCTGTCAACCCAACCTTCTTCAGTTTTGGTGACCTGTCCAAGCCTTGCTCCCCATCTTGTTCCGCATGTTGTCGAGGCAACATCTGCTCCATCCCGGCCTTCTGTCATGTTCCAGCCCGTTGGTTTTTCGACTCAGGGCCAGGTTGCTTGTGCCTGTCCTCCTGCTGAGCTGGCCTCTTCCTCAACTACTGTGGTCCTATGTGTGCAGGGTTTGTGGTCAAGACGACGGGCACGGTGAGGCCGTGGCACAGCCTATCCGGTTATGGTCTTTCCAGATCCGTCTCTTTCGAATGAGTCCAAGCAGGTGGCGATGGATGTCCCGCCAGATCTAGGGCGATGATGCGGTCCTTGTGGCCGACATTTCCAGGTGAGTCAAAGTTGAGCACGAACACTCCGTTTTGCATTTTGCCTTTCCAATGAGTGTGTTGCCGTGGATTAAATAAAATTCTCTTTCGTGTGTTTGCAGTTGAACGCCGCACTTCATCAGCTAATTGGCTGACAAAAGGTTGAAGCGAAGACTCGGCACCACGAGTACGTCGTTGATGTAGATGTGGAAGTTTGTATCCTTCGACTTGAGCTGGATTTTTCCACGGCTTTTCACCCAAATTGATTGGTTGTTGGCGACAGTGATCTTGACTTTATTGAAGAGGTCCTTGCTATTGAGGATGAACTTGTCGGACGAGACCATGTGTTGGCCGCAACAGCTATCTAGGTACCATTTGTTGACGTCGTCGTTTTTCTTGGCGATGTTGGAGATTTGCGGAGTGAGGTGATGTTCCATGTCGTGGTCCTGCTCGTAAACCCACCCTTCGTTGTCCAGTGCGATGCGTGCGGGTGGTGACTCCGCAATCCATGGCGGTGCTTCCTAGCCGTATTGGATTCGCCCGACTGTGAACTCATGAAACGTTGAATCCCTCTTCTTTTTCCCAAATGCGAAAGAAGTGGTAGTCACGGTTAACTTGGGGAGGTCCATGTCGCTCCATGCAAGTTAATACCTTGCTCTTCCCCTTTTTGTCTGCAGAGATACGCGCAGGAGGTGCTGGAGTTGTTGGAGCCGGCGGAGCTGGAGGTTCTGGAGCTGGAGGTACTGGAGCTGGAGGTGCTAGAGCTCGTGGTGCTGGAGGTTCTAGAGTTGGAGGTACTGGAGCTGGAGGTGCTGGAGCTGGCGGTGCTAGAGAATCTGGAGCTGGATGTGTTGGAGCTGCTGGTGCTGGAGTACCTGGTACTGGAAGTACTGGAGCTGGAGGTACTGGAGCTGGAGGCACGTGCTGTGCAGTGGTGACCGTTCTTCTTAGACCAGCCGCAGTCGTCACTGCCACCACCTGGCTCGGCGCTTCACTAGGTTGTTAGTCTTTCGTCTTCCACAGGTGTTATTCCTCCTCTACTGTGTCCACCGACTAACCCGTCTCAGACATACGTGCAGCCTAACCCCCTAATGTCTGCTCCTTCTCCTTATAATGAGTCGACAGACTCCCGACCGAGCGTCGAGAGTCTGTGTCTCATCATGCTACGTGTGCTCCCCGTGTTTTTCCTCCACCTGTCCACGGCACGCACACCATGGCACTTCATCCTTCCTCTATTGCACAGCGTCCTGTCCTGCCGTCTCCTCCAGCGTCCTCTCTTCCTCACATTTCCGACCCTGAGTCTGACCTTTCTCGTGCTATTAGTCTTACTGTCACCCGTGTTCTAGCCACGCTTGTCACTGACCCTACCTTTGAGTCTGCCTTGATCACTGAGCTCGACAAATTTGCTGCTTCCTGCCGTCTCTACTACTCTGCGAGTCTTCTTTCAAGTCTGACTGTCCTACGTACGTCGGGGGTGAGCTTGCTCTTGGCAGTGACGTCGTTGAGGTCAGGTAGTTTGAGCTCGATTACCTCGCGGCTACTGTACCACATTTTGCTGCCACACTGCTTGCCCCTGAAGAGACCCGGATGCACTGGACATCCTGACCCTGCACTCTTACGCAGAGGCGATTCCGGGTCAATGTTCCTCTTAGTGGTAGACAGCCATGGACAGAGATGGCATCTTGGAAGTCCACAGGCACCTACGTCAACGTAGTTCCCACTCCCGGGGCGAACATAGTCAATGGCATGTGGATTTTAGAGGTGAAGCGGCTGCCAGGTTCTCTGCCTGTCTTTAAGGCGTGTCACATTGCACGAGGCTTGAGTCAGCGGCAGGGGGTCAAATTTTTCCAGACCTTCTCCCCCACCCCGAAGATGACCACTCTTTGGGTGTTACTGCACGTTGCAGCACAGCGTGACTATGAGCCGCAATCGCTTCGGGTGTTACTGGGTCGTTTCCCGAGGGTACCAAGTGGAGATTCCGGCTGTCAGAATCCCAGTCACTAACCACTGGGATAAAAGGGCTTGTTTATGTAGCGGGTGAGTGCGCCCATAACCCCCCAGGCCGACGTGCCTGTAACCCTTCCCTAGGATCATCGGGGATCTCCAGTAAACCTCTGACACCCCCCCGCACTGGGATGCCCGAAGTGCACACACCGGGAATCGAACCCGAGACCTTCGCTCTGATACCATGTCAGAATCCCAGTCACTAACCACTGGGATAAAAGGGCTTGTTTATGTAGCGGGTGAGTGCGCCCATAACCCCCCATGCCGACGTGCCTGTAACCCTTCCCTAGGATCATCGGGGATCTCCAGTGGACCTCTGACACCGGCGGCCAGTCTACGGTCTCCACCAAACGCTCTGCGAGAGGCACGACAAACTGCGGTCAACACTTGCAGCTCTCGGGTTTTCTCCTTCGACTGCTGACCCGTCGCTATTTCCGCGCACAGGCCCTTCTCTACCGCCGTTCTACATCCTCGTGTACGTCGAAGACTTGGTCTTTGCTACTGCTGACACTGAGGCACTGGCCCTTGTGAAGGCGGAGCTGCAGAAGAGACACACCTACACTGACCTGGGTGAGCTGCGCAGCTATCTTGGCTTGCAGATCACCTGGAACAAAGCAGTGCGCACCATCACTCTTACTTAGTCACACATAGTACAGCAGGTCCTGGCATGGGGTTTGTAGAGGAGGCGATGGATTTGCAGTGGCTCGGGGAGGGCAGCTTGGCGTGCCGTAAGGCGATTAGCGACCTCCTGCATGCGCCCCACGTAGTCAACTGCGCCGTCACAGACGGCCGGCAATGTGATTTTTTCTGCTTGCTTTCCGCTCCACTTTTTTCTCTCACGCACTAACCTGTCTCTGCTCCTCTGCAGTTGCGTCGTTGAAAGCGTCCTCGTTCTTTCTCCCAATCCTTAAAGACCCGGCCATTGCTCTCGTCTCCACCGGCAGCAGCAGGGAAGATTGGATCTGCACGCAAAAAGGCTGCGGGAAAGCGAAGGGGAAGAGCCTCATTGCTGCTGCAGCTCACATCTCGGCAGCTGCTCACCTGCTAGAGTTGTCGAAGGGAAGCTCAGCAACGAAGGCGTCACTCGACAAGTTGAACTTAGACATCATTCGCAAAGACTACGGCCTGTGACAGTGTTCGAGCATTACTTGGATGCAGCTGCTTGTTGCTGCTTAGAAGTTAGCGTCGCCTGTTCTGTTTCTTTTATCTGGATGATCAGGGGCCGCAAGCCGGTGTACCCATGAATATAAAAAATCACCTCACCTTCTCCAGCCTGAACGTCAACGGTTTAGGCAGCAACAACACCAAGCAGACTAGAGTTAGATCATGGTTCATGACGGGCTCAGACATAGCAGTTTTAGTTGACACAAGACTAGACTCAACCCGTACTGGACTTCACTCTCAGCAACGTCATTCACAGCTACCGCTCCTAGGACCAGCGCTGGAGGGGTGGCGGTCCTCAGTCGTAACCCCGCTATCACCTTTCACGACACTATAGCTCAACCTTCGGGTAGAATCATTCAAACCTCAGTTAGAGGTCTCGGTCTTGACCTGATCCTCCTCGCAGTTTACTTTCCATCCAGCATCCCAGCTAGAACAGCCTTCTTCCGTGACTCCTTCGGGCCCCTTTTAGACAGAATCCCTCCTTCGGAACACCTCTTGCTGATCGGCGACCAGAACATTATAGAAAACCCATTGTTAGACAACTCTAGAGGTCAAGGCAAAGCCTTAGAAAATGAACGCTTCTTTCGGCGCTGCGCGGCCTTCCAACTGTCAGACGCTTTTTGAATATTGCACCCTGGTTGCAGAGAGTATACATTCTTTGCAAAAAGCCACAGAGTTACAATCGAGCCTTAGTCTCTCAAACTCTCATTCCTTACCTTTCTTACTCCGCACATATCATGCCTGACGATCCCATCTCAGACCATGGTTACGCCATCTCGATCGCCCTCCGCCTCGATGAGGAGCATTGCAGGGGGCTGTTATAGTTACAATAGGCTTCAATGTGCCTAGAACCAAAGATTGAGTGCGCAGTCAGATTTCTGCACAGCGGCTTTAAACATTCATAGCGATCTGGTCACAGCTCCAAATGACCTCACTCAAATTGGATCTGGAGCGTCTTAACGTCACCTACAATAGGCAATTTAGATCGCACGATTTCATCAAGAATTGACGACACAGCATCAGATTGAACGAACGGCACTATGGCAGCAACATAGTCTTAGGACACACAAATACGAATAGCTAGGAAGAGTTACGAGTTGGGAATGACTCCCAGCTCCTACAAACCCCAAGAGCCGAGGTACAGTGATGTGGAACAGTGCCACACTGTCCCCAACCAAGAAGGGCCACAAGGGCCCACACCCATAGAAATGTTACACTACACATTGTAATGTAACTATCTTCAATATCTTGAGGTGTAGCCTTTTTTGGCGAGCTTCGAAAAACACTTGAAGCTTGAACCAAGGCTCGGGTTCTTCATCACAAACTCAACCTTGAGTTCTTGATGGGTCTGCTGCACACACCTGCGACACGCCGAACGTTTGACGTAGGAAAAAATAGGAACCGCGCACGGGACACACGACAAAATAGAAACCGCGCGCGAGACACAAATGACCGCATTGACACGCGGCTAGCGATAACTCGCTATTGACTCGACACACACACTCGACATCATGACCCATCATTCACACACCATTATAAGCATGAAATATATATTTATTTTATGCACTCATACCACTCCATGCACACACGCATGCACGCACACGCACACGGACAACAAGCCGAGTGCAAACCGTAGGGTTGCACCAACAAACTCCCCCTCGGGTTGTTGGCCTTAGGATCTTGCTCTCTCAGTTCAGAGCCATCCCAGCCAGCTTGCAACACTTCCAATGCTGCTGCTCCACCAGCCTCTTGGTCATCATGTCAGCTGGCTGCCCCGTCGTCTTCACATAACGCAACTCAACTTCACCCGCGGCCACCATGCTCCTCGTCCAGTGCCACTTCACCCTCATGTGCTGTGCTCTGTCTGGGCTTTTGATCAGTATATCGTCTAAGTAAACGATCACGCACTTCTAACAGTGGGCGCAAGGCTTCGTCATGGTCATTTGGAAGGTGGCGGGGGCGTTGGTCAATTCAAAAGGCATTACCGTGTATTCAAACGACCCGTAGTGGGTGCGGAAGGCGGTTTTCGGGCAGTCGCGCGGATTGACTCGAATCTTGTGGTAACCCCCTCGAAGATCGATTTTCGAGAAGACTCGGGTTGTGCGAAGTTGGTCAATCAGTTTGTCGGCTTGCGGGATGGGGAAACGGGACTTGATGGTAACTCTGTTTAGTGCGCGGTAAACTATGCACATGCGAAATTCCGAGTCCTTATTTCGGTGTGAACAGTATCGGTTCGGCCAAGAATGACGAATTCGGGCGAATGAATTGTTTTTTGAGCACGTAATCCAGTTGCTTCCGCAGTTCGTCCAGTTCAGGTTGGGTCAGTCCGAACTGTCACTGCACCGTCGACTGTGCCCTCAATTCCAGTTGTATCCTATGGTCGTGCGGTCGCTGGGGTGGTAGTCCCTCAGGCATGTCGTACGGAAGTATTTCGCTGTACTGCTTCAGTAGCTCTGCCAAGTCACCCGATACTTCAGCGAGTAGTTTATGTAAATCCCTCGATTTGTCTACTACCTCGGCTTCCCGAATGTCAACACGTACACATCAGCTCCTTCCTCTGTGGCGCATTTCATCGTGATCGCGTTGACACGCACCGATTGAGACTCTGTCGAGCTCCAGCGAGGTAGGGCGATGTTGTTAGAGTTCACTCGCACGGTGTATTCACACGTCGTCTAGTAGGTTCGCAGGTTGTGACGTCGCAACCAATCACAGCCGAGTAAAATGTCGGTCCCGTCGAGAGTTGTTGCCAGCATTTCCTAGGTGATGGTGA